GATGAGCAGGAAGTACAAACTAGTGGCTCTCAATATGTGCGTGGAATGAGAGTGAGGAAGACTTTAGCAACATGCGCACTGGGTCCCTCTACTCCCACCATTCTAACAAGGCCTGGAGAGGAACTGGTAGAGAAGAACTCCCCTGGATTTGCCCCACTTTCCTGTGCCTGCCTGAATTGTGCAATAGAATGGGAGTCATCGTGATTCAGACAGGAAAAATCGGACCAACCAGTTTGGTCAGGGACCTGCCTGGGACAACATGCGTACTGGGTTCCTCTACTCCCACCATTCTAACAAGACCTGGAGAGGAACTGGTAAAGAACTCCCCTGGATTTGCCCCACTTTCCTGTGCCTGCCTGAATTGTGCAATAGAATGGGAGTCATCGTGATTCAGACAGGAAAAATCGGACCAACCAGTTTGGTCAGGGACCTGCCTGGGAAGAGGGAGAGCTGGGGGTGGGCTCATTAGTGAGACTTGGATTAATTGGGAGCTGGAGAAATGGGAGGAGAAGGCAGGGAGATCAGACACTCAAGATGGAGAGAGAAGGTGAGAGAGGATCAGGACCCAGTAGGGCCAGATAGGAGGATGGAGAGGGTGGGGGAAGACTCCACTTATCTCTGAAAATAAGCAGAAGTGCATGTAGGCATCTGATGTTTCTGGAGGCTCAGTACTTTCCTGCCCAACACACAAAGCTCCAGGGATGGCAGGTGTGCAGGCTCAACTCTCCCCTCAGGAGACTAGGCAAAGTCTCCATCTGGGCTTTTTTGTTTGTTCAGTGTCCTCCTGCATTAGAGGAGTACCTACCCCCATCCTCCCTTACCCAGTTCTCCCATATTCATAATCCTTTTCTTGGCTCAGGTTGCTTGGGGAGAGGACTCCTGAGGCACAGGATTAAGAATGGGAAGTGCAGCCTGAGAGGCTCCTGAACTCAGATGGGGAGAAATAATGATTCAGAAACCCTGGAATTAGAGGATAGCCTTCTTAGAGTAAAAGATGCCAGACTGAAGACCACCTTCTCATTCTCCCTTCTTCTCAACCTCCCCCTCCTCCTGCCAGTTAAGGTCTTTCCAGAAGAGTTCATCAGGCAGAGTCCTCTTTCCGGAGCCCCTGTGTACCACCTCTGGCCAGATTTTTGGCACTCTGACTCCACTTTTTGTCCCCACCCAAAGGACAAAAGTATTTCTTGATTGCCTTTTACCGTCTGGTTCTAACAGTAAAAATTGAGCATCCCAAGACACTCTCCCTTGAGTCCCATGCAAATTGAGGTGGCTGGTCACCCTATAAATTGAACTCTCAACCTCCGTTTAGCTGCCCAAATTAATCTGCAGGAAACAACTGATCTTACAATCCTTGCAGAATCTCCAAGACCTGATCTCCTGCCAACTCCCAAGCAGTAAATCAATTCTCTTATGAGTTCTCTATAAGTTATCTATGTAACTAGATAGGGTTTGACAGGATAGAAGCCCCAACAGATGCCTCCTCAAACCTAGCAGAGAGGGTTACCTAGTCAGGTAACAAGATGGCAGGCTATAGAAATGCCTGTATTTTGTTCTTCATCAACCATTCCATATTTTGTCTCACCCTTTAATGAGAGAAACTGGACCAATCAGATGCTAGTTGGCCAAATGGCAAAACCAAGCCTTTTCCTCTAAAGTCAACCAACACATCACAGTCAGGACCAAAGGCACAATTAGTTCTAATGGAGGAATAGCCAGCAAGTTCTCACACTGGTTCTTTGTCGGTGTGGCCTTATGGAGGAGGGTTATTTTCTTCCATGTGCCCTTCTGTAATTTCTAATTTTCTATGATGTGCATGTGTTATTTTAGTATAAAATAATTTAGACATACAAAAACATAGAGAACAAAATAGCAAACACCCATGTCACCACTACCCAACTTAAGAAATAGAACATTAAGGTCCCTCTTGTTCCCACCCCACTTCTCTCCCTCTCACTCCAAAGGAAACATCAGGCCTGAATTTGGTGTTCATTATTTCCACATATGAGCTACATATTTCTTCAAAATCAAAGGGGAGGGGTGCAGGAAATTTTTTTTAAAGAATTATTTTATTTAACTTTATTTATTTGTTTATTTTAATTTGACCAGAGAGGGACAGGATATGAAAGAGAGAGAGAGTAAGAAAGCAAGCCACCAGGTCCAAGACTCAAACCACAGTTAGCCATGTGGGGAGTCCAGCTCCTTTAACCACCACACCACCTGCCAGCCCCATGGAAATGTATTTTTTAAAAGATAAGACAATTGGGAACCGGCAGTTAGTGTAATGGCTATGTCGCTGGACTCCCACGTAGTCGACCGCGGTTCATGTCCCGGACCCGGTGGCTTAAAACTCACGCCGAGCGCGTGTGCGTGCGTGCCCAAGATCCCAAGAGGAGAATGGAGGAGAAGGGATTGCGGCGTGACCATCCCCCCTGGGGGGTGATTTCTCGCTTTCTGTCTCTATGTCTCTCTCTGTCTGTCTGGCGAGCGCACGCGCCCTACAGTGAAAATCTCTCAAAAAAAAAAAAAAAAAAAGATAAGACAATTGATTTAGTCTATTTCAGAATCAAAGCGGTGGTTCTCAGACACCCTGACCTCTTGAACCAGTAATATTTCAAAATAAATATTGGGACTGTGAGTCTCTGTTTGCATGGGTTAGACAGTGAAGGAAACAAAAACCTATCATCTGCTATCATGGTAGCTTCCTGAAAGAAAGGAGATCCTTTAATGCTGAAAATATAGGAAGAACATATTCTCAGAATTAAAAAAAAAATTAATACAGAGACTTGTGTTACTGTTTTCATTTAGTTTAGGGTCAGCTTCATCATGGACCAGTTCAGCACTAAGAAGTCACTGCTCTAGAAACTCGCACTCTTGTGACCCATGTTCCTGAGAGGACGGAGATTTTCTGGAGAGAACCTGCCCACAATCCAGAAACAAAGATGTACTTTTGCCCCTGCCCCCACCTCAGATTAGGGTCAGTTCCGCAGTTGGCTCTATCCCATTCCCTCTCTTACCTCCTTACTTTCTCACCTCCCTCCACCCCACCACCATCCTCCTTCTGCCCTCAGAGCCTGAAGAAGGGAACCAGAGCTCCCTTCCTTACTTTTCCCACCCTACAGACCACCACTAGCCCTGGTCCCAGGCCTTCCCTTTTCCTGTATCCCAGAGTTAGGAAGGACAGTCTGGTCTTGGCCTTGCAGGCTGGGATTGTCTGGAGGGGACTGGGACTTTCTGAGGACAAGGTTAAAGAGACAAGGAAGAAAAATGTGAAAACCATAGAAGACTGAAGGGACCCCTGAAAATGTCCAATGGGAGAAAAATAAGAAAAAACTTCAGGGACCTGGCTGCCCCTCCTCAGTGACCTGGCCCCATCTCGGTACCCTGGACTCTGTGCCCTAGTTGGAATAAAGTGGACAGGCCCCGCCAACACAGGTGTGTACCCATCACAGGTGTACCAGAAAGGCTGGTAGAGTTTTCTCTAGTAACTTTCCAGGGGAACCGCCCCACTGCCCTCTCCACGCAAGGTAAGATCTCCTGACTTGGCACAGCTAGACAAAGGTGAGGTCGGTCATTGATGATCATTTGAGCTAAAACTTGAGTCAAACAAAAATGAAAGAAATTCCATCTGACAGAGAAGGAGATAGAAGCCGGGCACACAGCTGGGCACATGAACACCAAGTCACACCTGGCTGCCGCCCAAATGGGAAAATAATGTATGCCCTGCCTCCTGAGCCTAGGTCTTCATGCCCCCTGGCTTCCCCTGATTTCAGTCTGCTTCCTCTGGCTTCACCACGCTGGGCCTCAGGTCCCCATCTACAAAACGAGGAACTTGGAGACGGAGGGGACCCTGAAAACTCTGAGTTCTGGCAGGCAACCCAGCCTCGGTCTGACTCCTAAATCACACACATTACCTAAAGCCAAGATTTACCCTCAGCCCTGCTTAATCCCAGTGGGCGAGGCAGCGGTGGCCAGATGCAATCTCCTTTCTCCGTTGCCCTTCCTCCCCCAGCTCCTCTCTGGGCAGCACCCATCAGACCACAGCAGCACTAATGTCAGGGCCATGAGGGACTGTGGCCAGGGAAGATCATAGGGTACAGTCCTGGGACAGAAGAAGAGCTTCTTGTAGTGACCTTCACCAACCTTGGAAACCCTCTCGGGATTCCTCCCCAGTGCCTCACGGACAAGCACCCCCACCTTCTGCCCATCACAGCACTCTGGTACTGCCATCTGCTGTCATTCCCAAAAGTGGATCTGATCTCTAGGGGCCCAAGTTTTAAAAAATTTATAAGATCCTGTATCTCAAAGATAGGATGGGTGCAACCACATGCAACAGAAATACACAAACACAGAGAGAAACACACACAGATGCACAAAGACAGAGGCACACAAAGACTCAGACACATAGAGGCATGTTTTCCTGTCTGAGGTTCATGACCACAGTCCTCCTTGGTGGTGCCCTGCTGCTGCCCACCTGGCTCTGACTCAGCTTCCATCCTCACCCAACCACTCAGGCAGAGCCTGGAGCCAGACACCTGCCTCCTGCATCCTGCTCCAAGACCACACCCACCTTTCCTTTTCCTTGGGCACCAGGAGAGGCTGGATGGAGGTGGACGAGGGGGTCAATTCTAGTAAGTTTTCCCTCCAGGGCCAAGTGGGAAGGGTCACCTGAATACTATCTTTGGGGCCCTCAGGCTTCCCACCCCCCAGCCAGACACCACACACTGCTAGACTCATTCCTTTTATTCAGATCCTCCCATGCTCAGGGTCTCCCCACCGCAGCCCTGTGAGGTGTGAGGTGGGGAGCACCATCCACCAGAATAGGGGTAACAGGCAGCACCAGGCCCAGGAGGGCAAGAGCTTCCTTGGCGGTGAGGTAACTGCCCACCCACCAGCCCAGCCTTTTCCTTAGTAGCCCCACACAAAAGCAGATGCCCTGGAAGGCACCCAGCCTGCCAGTGCCAAGCAAATGAAGGAAGCCAGGAGGGGGGGCAGCAGGGAGGTCACTTTTCGGAGAGTATGCGCACAAACTCCTCGTAGTCCACCTTCCCGTCTTGGTTCAAGTCGGCCTCACGGATCATGGTGTCCAGCTCCTCCTGAGTAAGCTGTTCCCCCAGTTTGGACATGACCAGCTTGAGCTCCTCCATGGTGATGTGGCCGTCACCGTTCTGGTCAAAGGCCTGGAAGGCCATCAGCATGCCCTCCTTGTTGTCTTTGTTATTCATCTTGGCCATTGCCTGTAAGAACTCTTCAAAGCTGATGGCTCCATCACCATCTGTGTCCACTGAGGCAATGAGCATCTTTAGCTCTTCCTCAGATGCATTCTTCCCCACGGCCTTCATCATAGCACCCAGCTCCTGGACGTTGATCTTGCCATCCCCATTGGTGTCAACTCTATCAAAGGCCTCCTTATACTCAGCCACTACCTCTGAAGGCAGATTCTCAGCCATGTCTGGGTGTCTGCACCTCACAGAGCTTCCAAGTTTGCTACCAACTTGCTGGCAACCTGCTGCTGCTAGGGCTCGTGGTCCAGAGCTGGGAAGGCCACAAGAATCTGAGGTAATGTGTGGGAACCCCCTCCTTTTCTGCAGTTGGAGCAAAGGGAGGAGAAAACCTCCCCACCCTTCTTGTGTCCTGGGGCAAGATCCTCCTCCCAGGGAGGGACATACCAGCTGCAGACAAGAAATGCAAGAACCAGAAGGGGAGGCTGGCAGGAAACCAGGACGGGGAGGGTTATAGTATCAATAAATCAGATGCCAGGCCTGCTAGCTTCTCCTGGGCCTGATGGCAGACCACCTCACTGCAGAGCCATGCTGCCCAGGAGACAGTTTCCCTGCAGTAGATTCACACAGAGACTCCTGGCAAGCCAAGGGGTTCATGACAGCTTCCACAGTTTTATAGACTGAGGCTGGAGAGGGGAAAGGGGTAGAGGCAGGCAGGCCCCCCAGTGTTTATGCTGTCTTTTCTGGAATCTGTCTCCCGGCTTCTCCCTGAGGGTGGGGTTGGTGGAAGAGGGTGGTTGGTGGCAATGAGTCTGCCTGGGTACAACTGGGGGCTTCAGCAAATGTCTGGTCTAGGGCCAGCAACAGGTCCAAAGATGTGGATGAAGCTTGCTGCTGCCAGCTTTTAGGAAGCAAGGAACAGGGATTGCATTCAGAACTACAGCTGGTGCCAAGAGCTTTATTAAATGAACGTGTAAAGAGTGATTTCAGAGGTGAGGAAGATGCTTCTCCTCCCTCTCCCTGTAATTTTGCACCTCTAGTCTAGTGATTCTTACAGTTTCATCCCATGCTAAGAATAAAGTTCTCTGTGTCACCTGATGAAATCAGGGGCATGTGTTCCATTCATAGGGGGTAAAACTACTAAGACTGGAGTCTTACTAGGAGGAGACTGGAAAGGCCTGGGTGACCAGCACAGGAAGAAGCAGAAGAGGGTGGCCATGATGTGCACTTGCAGTCCTAAGAACAGAAACCCATTGGGTTTCTGCCCCTGATCTTTTCTCTGGAAGGAAACCCATCCTGCCGGTGCTTTGAATAGCAGGGCCTAGCCCAAGAGCTCAGTCCATGGAGAGTCATTCCCAAATCTTGCTGTGAAATATTCCCATTGGGAACCTCCCAGAACCATCTGCCCCTGATCTTTTCTCTGGAAGGAAACCCATCCTGCCGGTGCTTTGAATAGCAGGGCCTAGCCCAAGAGCTCAGTCCATGGAGAGTCATTCCCAAATCTTGCTGTGAAATATTCACACTGTCCTCCTTTCTCAAACACATCCCCCATTGATCTCCACAGACTCTATTCCCTCCCCTGACTCCTGCCTGTGCATTAAAAAAAAAAAAAAAAAGCTCCTTCACTCTCCTCCTGAGAAATTTGTTTAAATTCCACCTCTCTCTGGTTTAGTTCATCAAATAGACCAAAGTATTCTCTCCTTTCCTGAAGTGAAGTGAAATGTCAGCTCCCCACCCCTCAGGGCTACATGCTGACCCCCATCAACCTCTGAGTCCAGGGGCACTCACATACAGAGAGAGATGCAAAAAGAAATATTCCAGTTGCCTAATTCCTATGAAGAATTCTTTAAGAAAGATCATTATCTCATTGTTGTGCTGGAATAGTACAGCGGTCTCAATAAATAATGAGCTATCAATTGCTCAACAAGATTGACAACCAGTTTGGGTGGGGAGTGTTGGTCCAGGTGGGAGACCAGGTCAGGGAAACATCCTGCTTGGTCAGAGATGCAGGAAAGGTGGAGCTCTTAATAACTAGATTCAATCCAGGTCCTTTATTTATTATTTTAAAAGAATATTTGAAGATAAAAATCTGTATCTGAAATCCCTTTTTCTTCTCATCTTTTTAGCAGGACCTGTGATTAAAATCCAAATGCTCAGTAATTACTTTGTTATTATTTTCCTTTGGTATTAAATACTTTACAAATGCTATCAGAAGACTTGAGCTCCTGGTTTCAGTATTGTCACTGACAGGGAAACTTCTTCACTCATATCTCAATATCTTCATCTACAAACCAGGATAATGGTTCCACCATATCTATGTGATCAGAATTCCTAGGGTCAAAGTATAAAGTGCAGAACCAACAGATGTTGTTATTCTCAGTAATGAGTTGGCTCATGTTTGATGTAAACTAACACTCAAGAAAATATCTACTTGAAGGGGGAGCTCACTCTCAATTTTTTTATTATTCCTTTCTCAACTGAACTGACAAACATAAACTAGCCCACCTTGAGGTCTTAGTTAGGTCCACAGGCCACAGCTCTGAACTGTAGCTGGCTTTTGGACTTCAGATGCAGCTTCAAACAGGGAAAGGCTTCTATATAGACCAAGAATCTAGCTGAGTCTCCTTGTGGGACAGGAAGAGGTCATTATTCATGGGATACCTGCTTTCTGGGTAAAGAAATGGAGTCTCTGGGAGGTAATTCCTGACTTGGGAGTGAGGGTTTCTCTACTCCCAGCCTGCCACTTTGGGCCTTGTTTCCTCTCTGATGCAGTGCATTCTCATGTTAGAGCACAAACTCTGAGCTGTTTCCTTCCATCCTCCTGTCCTAGCCTCCTGCCTCAGTGGACTGCATTGACTCAGTGTCAGGTGGCAGTTGCTCTCCCTTCTGGGGTTAGTACCAGAAATAGCCATTCATGAATGACCCACACTGCAGCGGGTATGATACAGTCAAACTAGGGCTTATGGAGGAAGACAACAAGGCATGTGTGGCCAAAACTCAGTCTACCTGTCCTTCCCACCACCTGCTCAGAGTTCCACTGCTGAGTCCCCAGGGTCACTTGATATACAAACCCAGGCAGATGGGTGAGATAGGAAGGCCAGAGCCTAGTCAGACTGTTTATGAGGGACAAGGGGAGGTGCTGAGGGCTCAGAAGAACGCAGCTGAGTGAGAAAGGCTGAGGTTTGATGAGAAGGACCACCTGGAACCAGGTGAGAAAGGAGAAGGCTGGGGTTACCAGTCAGGAGAGAAGCAAGCTTGTTTGTAGGAAGACTTGAGTCTTTTTCTTTTTGGTCCCTTTTTCAAAATAATTATTATATTTATGGAGTACAGAATAGTTTTCCAATATACTTGTTGAAAATGGACTCTCCTCCCCAAGACTCATGAAAACACCAACTCTTCCTAGTGAGGATGGCTGTGGCCCTGGAGAAAAGGGTTCCCATCACTAAGGAAGTAAGGGCAGTCCCTGAGGGCAGAAAAAGAAGCCTTATCAGTCATGGGACTGCCTTGTGAAGCAGCTGTGCAAGCATGTGTGTTTGTGTTCATGCGTATGTATATTGTGGGCATAGTGTGTGCATGTGAATGCATGTACCTGTGTATATGTGTTTGTGTCTGTGACTGGATGTATATGTGTGTGTGCATGTGTTGGGAGGAGGTGTGTGGGGTGGTTGCCCTCCCACTCAGGCTTTTCGGACAAATGGCTAAAGCCGATACCAACTTTCACATAAGCTTGACCCCAAGAACAAAAACGCACCCCAATGGTTCCAACACTGTTTGGCTTCTGTGGTCAAAACACTTGTTAGAAACTAGTCAAACAGGTCTTAGAACACAGAGCAGAGCAGAGACTTGTAGAAACCTGATTTCACCCTCTTCCTGAACCGTCTCCAAACTCTGGTGCAACCAGGGCTTTCCCAGGGAGATGAGAAGGAGCTCCTTGGAGAATCAGGGCATCTCTGTAGATTGTGGCTATGGATGAGAACTCCTGGGACCCAGCTCCCAGAGTTCACTGCCACCGAAAATGTCCTCAGCCGTGAGCAGTAGAAATGGCCAGCAGTCGTGCTGCCTTCACAGAGGCAACTCCCAGTCCCCCAATCAAGTGCTCTTAAACACAACACACAGTCCCCTACAGAGGTGACAGCATAGGGTCCAGCTCCCTGGAAGCAGGCAGCCGTGGAGTCAAGGCCTCACTTCTGCATTTTCCTGTCTGGCTAGCCCTGGACAAGCTGCTTCATCTCCCAGCTCAGTGGCTGCCTCCATTATAAAGAAGCTAATTCTAGTGCCAGCCTTATGGGTTTGCTGAGAGGCTGCAGGGAGGGCACGAGCTCAGCACTCAGTACGTAGGAACCAGCACTACTGCTCCTTCACCATTCACGGGTGCCAACCTTGCTGGGTACCGGACCAGGTGTCCAACTTCCCTGAGCCATTGTCTTCCTGTTCAAAGGCTATATACCCTCACAACAGACCAAGGTGGCTGTTTTAAGTTCCCAGACCATCTTAAGCCGAGTTAAGAAGAGACACCCAATTTCACCAATACCAAGGACCACATTGTTTCTAGCGGCCACCTCACAGCTTCACACCACATATGTTGAATGCGTCCAGTTGATAAATGAGGTCCAGACTCAAGTCAGAGATCACAGGTCCGATTTAGGCTCCCATCCAATCAGCCATGTGATTCTTGGGCTACAACAATGTAAAGTCGCACCAGGGGGTCCCCTGGGAAAAGCGCTGTGGCCCTGCTCTCATGGAGATCATGCCTGTGCATTCTTACATGAGGACAGGCCCTTGGGCTGGCTCGGCTGCGGTTTATTCAGTGTAGGAAATCTGCCTAGACTTGTTGGGTCAGTTGATAAAAAGGGATCCTCCCCACTCGTACCTGACGGTGACACACCTGAGAACCTGGCAGGACACACAGTTCTGTGTCCCACGCTCATGGCCTGTTCACCATCTCCACATACCTACCCCCTAGTTACCCAGCACTTTCCAGGAGAAGTGTTTTGAGGTGCTTTTCTAGGTAATTGACTGTTTCAACCCTGTCTCTCTTGAATAGAAATCTTTCTAAGGTGGATAGTATATTTTATTCTTCATCATTTTAAATGCATTAGGTAGAATGTAACTCCAGTGGTTAAAGATGATTCATAGTTCTTCCATAATGTTGCACTCACACAGAGACGTAGGTGGGGCCGTCTGCCATGCACAAGACCATCCTGGCCAACTGTAATTTTTCCAGTTGA